GTGTCAATATTGTATAATGTATATTATTATTTTATAAATGATCATGCACCGACAAGCTGACTTTTCGAAAGCAAATTTTAATGTTGCCCACTTAATGAAATAACTCGTACAGCACTCTAATCAATTTATATATTAATCCACTTGAGAAAGTGGCTTACAGTGACAAGAAGCATGCAATTTGATTTACTGCAAGCTAAGCTCATTAGCACTTGTTCATCATTTGAACCAAATATTATAATTAAATAAATGCTTGCTTGCAGTGTGAAAATGAAACAAGCAAAAACGTAAAAATAGTAGGAAATATATATTTTTTACATAGTTTCTAAAGAATTTAATGGATTTATAACGTGATTTAAAAATATTTGGTATCATTTTGATAATTAATTAGTTTATAAATAGTATCTATACTCAACTAATTTCAGAAAATTTTGCAATTTCGTCAATTTGTTGGATATATTATGCCTAAGTTCGACACTAACCAATTGAACCTCGAACTCTTCGAATCTCAGTTCAGTTCAATTCATTTAAACCCAACTCAGATGCCCTTTTCAAATGCCCAACTATACGGACTTGATTCATAAATATTATTGTAATTTAGGGTATTTAACATAGACTATAGACTATACGTAATAACAAGACAAAGTTCAACCCCAACAAAAGTCTCTATTTTTTTTTTATATATTATTGTAAAATGCTTTCGATAATCAAATCTGTAAATAATAGCAAAGCTGTTAATTTAATGCTGCACTTATCAAATATAATAATGATTGGACTTATTAAATATTATAATCCAAACGGCTGACCATTTATGGACCTGAAATACCTAAAAACATCCTGTATTGCCACTAATCATCGCCTGTAATGGCCCCCACCGACATCACATTAGCAGCATTAGATTCCTTAATTTGGTTTAATTCAACAATCCAAAGTCTTAATCGAAGTTTAGTACAAGAATGATCAATAATAAAATGCAAGTGGACTTAATCGATGATGCCTGATGGCCCAAGTCTATACTAAAAAAAAGCCAAACAAACAATAATCTGCCATTATTTCCAAGATTAACTAAACCAATAATTCTGCAGTTCAACCACCGGCCAAATTAAGTCGCAAAATGGCTCCATCTATAGCTAACTTAATAGTATCATGTTAAATTATCATTAAAATCCCAAATTAATTATACAATGCAAGTTGACAAAGCTATTTTGAGCCGTCCAATATCATTTTAGTATTTATTTATAAAATGTGTGAACCATCGTCAAAACGAAAACAACTGAACAGTTGTAACATGCCAGAAATTTAGCATATATTATTATTCAGGTTTCAAGAAATATACAATCAAAAAAATAAAAATAAAAAAGCTAGTTGAGCTCGTTCAAATTTTCGCAATCATGTTGTATTGCATCTTACATTCGAACTTCATGCAGTTTCGAATTTTCGTTTGATTTGCAGAGCTGCTCTCACGACATTACCTCTGGTTATAATCCCC